TTTATATTCATTCTAAAAATAGTTCTTAGATAGCAACAGGGACTATTAGGGAAAAAAGAAAACAGAAAATAATGAGATGTAAAGAGAGATCTGTGCATTATTAGATAGTGAGCAAAATTTAAAAAAAAAAGGGCAAATATTCCTCAGTGTCCTGCTCCGAATAAATTGACCTTTGTTAGCTGAGCAAAACTTTTCAAGTCATACACAGTGTTTCATAACTTTTGGGAAACTGAAGCGAAGTTTTTATTCTGAAAATTGTGACTGCTATATGTTGTGTATCTTTTAATATAAGCTTAACATTCAGATCTGCATTCTTATATTCTCTAAGAAAGAGTGAAGAGATACTATAACTGAACTTAGGGATATTTAAAAGAAACCAAAGAATATTATGTGGGTTTATAAATATATTCAAGTTAGTGTATTGAATCTTTGTGCATGCTTGTGTGTGTATGTTTTCCTCAAATGTGAAAGGAAAAACCCACTGGGGTGATGTATTATTGCTGTGTAAAAGTATACGAATATCTTATTGTTCATAAAGTTTATTGACAGGCACTTTGAGCTTTTCATTCATTTTTGAAAATGGGCATTAATTTATTCTTATTGCCAGTACAGATTCATTTAACATGTAGCTATATCCATAGCACTTAATCTTGTTAACATGTCGTTACTCTTATGAGTATTTCTTCTGGAATTAAACAAGAGTAAACACCTGTAGAGTTTTTATACCAAGAACTACTTCATTGGAGAGGAAGCAAGGTGAGAAAAGAGAACAATTATAAGATGCTTCTCTTCAGTCCAAGGAAAATCCCGTGCAGCTGTTTTCCATTTTTTAGGAAAGACCCTGTCAGTTGGGATCAGTGGTCTACACTGTCAAAGGACTTCACTGTGTTTAAATCACTGTGGCAAAATAGACAGTGGCCACTGCATTTTGTTGGAGCACAAAGTAAGTGATCTGATGAATTGGAACACAACTCCCACAGTAATATCGTTCATTATGTCATAAGATATACAAGGCATATCTGAACAAGTTTTTTTTTTATTGTGATGAAAACTAGAAGCTCTTTTTCCCCAACATACTTCATCAAACTATTTACAACCTCTGTAAAATTTGTGAGTTTGAAAATACTTTTCCCACTATCACACATTACGAATACAGTAAAATATCTTCATTCTGTATTTTTCCCCCCAAAGATGCAGGACCCTCCTATTTCATCTTCTTATGAAAAATCTGAATTTCTATTGCCATTGCACAGTATTTAGCATATTTAAAGTACTAATGGACATGAAATGCTAAACAGACATTACTCTATAATGAAATTGTGAAAATATAGTATTTTTAATTTTTATGTACACTTTTTTAAACTATAAAATGCAGGCAAAGTCATATATAGCATTAGAAGCTGATTCCCTAATAAGGTAAATAACTTACATCTCTAGACAGCAGAGATTATTACAAATTCAATCTTTTAAAAAAGTTCTTTGTTGACATCTTTAAGCTCACTGGCTGCTGTATATACAGGTGTATACAAGTGTGCATGTTTTGGGGGTGCCTGTACAAGTAAGTGGGAGGCAGTGTGGGATTAGGTAGAAATGTACTGTGGAAGACAATTCACGAAACCCCTTTTTTGGGAAACAAAACCTAATGAAGTGGAAAGATTGTTTTAAATGACATACACTGCATTCAGAAAAACTGAAAGAAGAGATTTGGTCAATAAAGTTGTAAAACACATTTATCTTCTACTCCTATAGCTATTAATAAAGAACAAAATCTGAGATTGGATTATGGAAGGACTATGAGTATTAAGGCTTTTGGGGCCCCTTATGATTCCTAAGAATTAGCTCACATTCAGTCCTTTTTATGAAGACTGTAACTCAGTGTAACATGGATGCTGGTATTCATAACACTGTTTTAAGTTCTGTCAATCCTTACTATAAATGGCAAGACTCCTTTGTAAGTACATTGAGGCTCCATTCCTAAGCAGTCATAATAACACAACAAAGGCATATTAATACATATGAAGGCCTCACCTCACCAGATTTATTCACTTACAGCTTTGGTAAGTATGATAAATAAAGTACAGACAGAAGAATACTGTATCTTTATCCTTATACATGTTATAACTCTACTGAACTTATATCAAAGTGCAGAATTATTTTATGTTTAAAACAAAAATGACAATTTGAAGATAAAAATTGTATAAAAATGAACACAACCTTAGTATCAGCTATACCAAATTCCAACCATAATTAAAATAGCCTTTCTAATCATCTAGAACTCATAACTGTAAATGCTGTAGCATTCTGTAAGACCCCTGACCCCTACAATCTTCTTTCTATTTTTCACTTAAAATTTAAAGTGAACAAAAGTGCTATTTTTAAATTAAAAATGTGGTTTATGTTACTGTTATTCAACTGCTTTTGAAAATAAATGTCCTATAGTGTTTCAAAAAGTATTGTCAGGCAGTAGTATACTCTTTACGGTAAAGCCATTAGCAATTTGAATTTCAGTCTAAATGTCTTAATAGAACTTAAGACAAACTATCGAGCAGGTTTCTCAGAGTCCACTCACAAATAACACAAAGGGCTGGAGCTGGATGAAGGGGTGGGGGTCGGGTGGGAAGTGAATCTTTTCCTGAATGACTTAAGGTCAGAACATGGGGAAGGACTCTATTAAAACCTCAATGTCTGACTCTCATCCTTATAATGCTTCGGAAGTTAAAAGTTAACATTTGCACTTCCTTGAGTTTTATCTCTTTGAAGAAATAGACAGTTTGACAGTAGCTTTTTAAGCCACTCCAGTCACCTGTGAATAGCTCCCCAAATACACATATACACCCTCAACAAATTGAAGTTTAAAACAATGGATGCTCCCAAGTAGGGAACAAGGGACAAGTCCTTTGGATTCTACTTCTTTTCTGCTGTTCCTCATCTACTGTGCTTTTTAAGAGGCTGGAATGGACAGACCATGGACCAGGTATTTCCTTGTTGGAAAATGGCCCAACTTAAAAAAATTCCAATTCCTTGTCTCCCAAATCACTTTCCTTTCTGTGGGGAAACACTTGTGGCAAAAAAACAAAAACAAAAAACAAACAAAAAACAAACCACCAAGGAGAATGGGTTCTATCTCATGACCAGCCCCAGCTAAGGATCAGTCTGGATGAGCTCTGCAACGTCTTTACTACTTGTGCTTGGATTCCTCCTGAGAAGTGTCCACATGTCACACAGGGGGACATGGCATAACACTGACAGATCTTATCAGCCAATTTACTGTCTCCGTCTGGTTTCCACACTCACGATGGGAAGGACGAAAGCTCACTTCCATGCATCTTTCCTATGTGATTAGAGAGGAGTAGCTCAGGAGTTCTGTGCTAAATTTAAATCTAGCTGTCACTCAGGAAGTTCCCACTGCCTGCCAGTTCTATGAATTCTGAAAGCCATTTCTACCTGCAACCCTAAGACATTGCTCAGCAGAGAAAAGGAGGAGCTGTTCTTGGGAGAACAGGCAGAACGCAACCAAGTCTACACCTTGATTCACCCACCGCTGACGTCTCAGTCTCTGGGCTAGCAGAGAGACAATATCATGGGGGCCGGGACCCTCTGCATGCGAACAATAAACAGTGCAAGTGTGTCTGAAGAAGCCTTCCTTGATTCTGAATGTCACTGGCAATGTGAAGTAAGAGTTGTGTATACAGTACAGATAATAAACTTCCAGTTGGTAAAATAAAATAACCAAAACGGTGTTTGGTGCAGGCAGATTGAGTAGCAAAAGAAGCTCTTTATCAATAAAACTGCAGCCCTTATGGGAGGGAGATTGCCTGATGAATTTTTCAGACCTGGCAGAAAATGTACAGCACGTATTGGTAAAGACAGAATTTGACCTGAAAAATCATTATGTTGTTGCTTGAACACTAAAAAAGGGTCCTTTTAATACCATTCAGCACAAATGACCCTTGTTTCAAGGTTTATACTTTTTGCTTCTTCAGAGTAAGGTTTTCTAAATGAATAAGATGATCTTAAAAAAAAAACAACTCTATAACCGGAAATGATTTCAGAATGTTCAAACATATAAAAACTGAGCTAGTAAGAATGTGAGGTTCTTTTGTGCAATCCCCCAAATCAAGTATTTGTAATTAAAATAGACTGCGAAGGTCTATGCTGGCAACCTTTTATATCTAGGCTATAAAAAATCTTAACAACAATAACAAAACAATCTCACCAAGCCCCTTTGCCACATAAAGCCAAAGCTTTTAGTGGTGGTGGTAGCGGTGGGGTAATACAGGATCATTTTAATTTCTCCGAAAGGATGCCTGTTGGTGATGTATTGCTCTGTTTACTGTAGACTTTGCTAGCTGCAAAAAAGGCTCATAATTTCAGGGTACTGACAGGACTGTAATTTCCTCTCACCCTCGGCACAGATGAGCGGGTCCGACTCCCTGCAGAGGCCCAGGAAGAGCCTTTGGGTCCTAATACACTTTAGAAAATGGAGTCTCTAGCGAAGCCCCTGTGGGGAGTCCTGGTCGGCAACTCTCCCTGTGAGAAAACCAGCACCAAGTCAGGCTTTCCTCAGGGAGCATCCCCTTTCCACCATCTCGAGTGCCAGGGAGGACTGGCCCATTAACCCAAGAGTTAATTCCCCATTCTGCTTCCCTGGCCTTTCCAGTCACCAAATAACTATTTTCCAACAAACAAACAAAAAAAGCAGGTGGGGGTGGGTGTTGGGGGAGGAGCGCATAATCTTTAATTGTGGTGCTCAACCAAGCTCAACAAACAGCGGAAAGATTACCTCAGTGCTGTGAACGTAACCAAGACATCTAAAATGCTGGGGTGTTTTTTACAATCCCTTTAGTAAGTATGAAAATTGGTAACGTGACTCCTCAGTGAAGTGATTGTAGGAAAGTCCTTTTATTCATTATTGCTTTTCTCCTCAGGAGGCGCATTATTTCCATCTCTGCTTTGTCTGATTTTTTTTTTCCACGTTCACTGACTTCGCAGGGGCAGCCCCACCTCGTCCCTTGGTGCCAGTGTGTCTAAGAAAGTTTTTTTTTTTTCTCCCCCGATTCCTTGTAATCAAATACTAGGGGCAGGCAGAAGTGATGCCTAGGTGACAGAACACTGCAATTTGAAGTGGGGCAGTAGTTTTTTTTTTTTTTAAGACAGGCTCTTCCTATTCAACAACACAACATCTCTGGGCCCGTCCATGCCAGGGCAGACACTGGGACAAGACTCCAACCGAAATATCGCTGCCCCTCTGCGTGAACAGATGAACAAAACAGAATCCAAACAAAACAAAAACAACAACAAACAAATGAAAGAGTCAATGTTGGTTCTCTTCGGGGCATGGCATAATGGCAAGATGGGAGTGGTACCTAGGGGCCACCATCACTATTGCAAAGGCGGCCTGTGGGGCCCTTCACTTGCAGGTATTGGAACCTCTTTTGCCAACAGCTTCTTCTTTTTTGCATGCTTGCTGGTAACAGATGGGATGTGTGTTTTAGCTTACTTAGATGGTAACTAAAATTGCTGGGGAAAGGGGTGAAGGATGGATGGGGGAGGAGGGGAGGGATCCCAATTTAAGAAGGTCTTGCTGGAGCCATCCAAGTGTGCCCAATGACCTCGAAAGGAGCCACAAAATGTCTGACCGCTCAGAAAAATGTACAAGCTACAAACATCTGCAAGTGGCAGAGGACACAGCACAGAAAAATAATGCCTGTCTCTTCGGCGTTGGTGCCACCCATCTTCCAGGCCAGCGTGGAGACATTTCTCATGGAGTCGGGTTAGGGGTTTTTACCTTCTGACCATAAGTAGAAGTGGGACTTCTTTTTCCCCCGCTCTGGTTTCAGATGTTGTGGGCTGAGGGTGCCCTTTTTGTGTGACACTGTGGAGAGGGTTCAGCCCGGCTGAATTGGGTGCGGCTAAGAGATCCAGCTCCTACGCTCGGCTGGACAGGTTGCCTTCCTCACACCAGCATATGTCTCCGGCGGTGCAGTGCCAAGTGATCGGAGCGGGAAAAGCTGCGATCACAGTCCGCGCACTTGAATGGCTTCACTCCCGTGTGTTTGCGGTAATGCCTTGTCAGTTCATCCGAACGAGCGAACTTCCAGGTGCAGCCTTCCCAGGTACACTTGTAGGGTTTCTCTCCTGGAAGACACAAAGGGACACATGCTTTGTGCTCTACCCTCTGCCTCTGGTACCCCGGCTTGCGATGTACTTTAGGACACTGTCCTCAATGGATTCCATATGATGGTCTTTTGTTAAGACTAGACCATCCCACCGGTGGTTGGGGGGAAAATGCATGGCATTTTATTTACTTATTATTATTATTATTATTATTATTACTTTTGCTTTTTGGGTCACCCAGCAATGCACAGGGTTACAGGAGTAACCCTGACTCAAGCACTCAGGAATTACTCCTGGTGGTGCTCGGCGACCATGTGGGATGCTGGGAATTGAACCCAGGTCAGCCGCATGCAAGACAAACGTCCCTACCCGGTGTACTATTGCTCCAACCCATGGGATTTGAATCTCCTCACTCCTGCTGTGATACCTGGCAACATTTGAAGGGTCAATGGCAGGTAAGTAGCTCTGCAGTCAGAATGTTAGAAGGCTGATTGCTACTATTAGATCCCATTCCCAGACAATAAAAGGCAAGCAAGAGTTCTATCTTGGCCGACAGGACCTCCAAACAGAAATTCAAAATAATTTGAAAATGGCAGTAAGCAAGCTTGGTTTTAAACTTCCCTCAAATGTGTTTCACTTAAATGTGTTTCACTGTCTCAGCACACAATGTCTATGCAACAGTCACTAAGAATATGCAAATAAAAAGTCACTAGAAGAGAAAATATTTTATCAGTCCTAGAAATTTGGTACTAAATACACACTATTTGTAAGCATCTACCTTTTTGCTTGTCTACAGGGAAAGAATCTTAGATATCTGAATAGTCTAAAGCTTAAATATCTTTTTTCAGTGATTAAGAATTAGGGCGCGTCCCGTGGAATGAGTGAATTGGTCCTAGTGTTGAAGTTCATAGTCAAAAAAAAAAAAAGAAAGAAAGAAAGAAAAGAAAAGAAGTCAGAAGTATGTAATCTGACCAGGTCCCTCTGTCAGCCCAACTCATAAGAACAGTAAAATATGCAAAGGCTTTTCTGGGGAAAGATACACTCTCCAGTGTCCAAATGAGCTCCCAGGGGGAGCTAGACAATAGCTGACCCAGGTAAGCTTTTTCCTGGCTCTTATTCGGAGTGGAAGCCTGTCCCCATGCAACCCCACAAAACTGATCTGTCCTTCTATCCCTTCCATCCAATACCTAACAACATTCTTGGCCACACACAGGACCCAAGATAAGAAGGGAGCAAATTGCTGATCCCTAGTATAGAGCTGCAAAGTCAGTTTTCTGATCCCATTTAGAGATGAGAACACTGAGGCTCAATGGAGTGAAGTAAATAGTTCAAGGTCAGTGAAAGATATTTTTTTTGGGGTGGGATTAGGCAGGAAAATGGCTTTAAAGCTTGGGGTGTATGCAGCTGGGGGCCTGGGTACGATCTTTGGCACTATATGAAATGATGGGTCTCATTCTCCTAAAGAGCCTTGAATATAATCTCAGGGCTAGGATGAAGGAGACGTTACTGGGGCCTGCTCGAGGCAATCGACGAATAACAGGATGATGAAATGAAATGAAATGAAACTCCCGAGCACTATCTGGTGGGGGAAGGAAAAGACAGAAGGTGAAAAAAGAAGGAGGGAGAAAAAGAGAAAGGGAGAAAGAAGGGATGGGATGAGAGGGGGAGGGAGAAGAGAGGAGAGAGAGAGAGAGAGAGAGAGAGAGAGAGAGAGAGAGAGAGAGAGAGAGAGAGAGAGAGAGAGAGATTGAGATTTTGCTATTCCGCAGCAGAATGGATGACCCTTTGCTTGACTAAACTGATTCATCCTCAAAGTTAGTTCTATTTTTGGTGTTTTCCCTGGGGTCTCATTCTCCAAACTTTTGGGCGTGTTTGCTACTCTCATTCCCTTAAATAAACACTTCACTTTAACCACCCCCTTGAAAACAGTTAGTTCTACTTTCTTAGGTACTCCCAAATTACTCACTTTCTATTTTCATTAAATAACCTATCCCAAATTATCACAAAGATTTTATTTTGATCACTCTTTTCTCTACCAGTTTCTGAATACACAGAGGTCAAGGAGCATGAAATTACTATTTTAGGATCTTTGGAGGAAAGAAAAGGTACCAAACAAGTGCTTGAATAAATTAATAAAATGTAGCACATACAAACACACACAGGCATGTACACAGGAAACTCCTAAGTCCTCTAAATGAGAGGATAAGTAATGCCTACATGGGAAAGGTAGACCAAGTGGGACCTAACATTTTTCATTCAACAGTTTAAATAAATACTGTCTATATGGGTTCTTTTAGGATCAAGTAGCCCTTTCAGAAATGAGTGAATAGCACAACCAGTTAAATCTAGAAATATTGATGGACTAATTGTGGCCCATAGAAAACACATAGCTACTTAAATGGGCTCTTTCAGGTCGAATCCAACTGCCTTGAAGAAGAACTCGCAACCTCTACTTCTGAAATTTTTGAATGCCTTACAGGGACAAACATTTGTATTTGAGGGTGTCTATTGTCTAGAGTTTAAGAGAAAATTTAAAACCAACAACCCACAAAAGTCCTAACTGGGGGATTTACTACAGAGTGTATCAATGACAACGGTTAATAGGCATTTTCTTTTGTCACTCCATATGCTTTGATATTTACATCACAAGGATGGGCTCTAATAACTCAAGCTGGAGATAAATTATGCCTTTCCATTGCTGGGGGAGAGGGGCAGGGGGATACTGAGCTCAGCTAGCTGACCTTCTGTTCCCATAGAAAGTCTGAGCTATCTCCTGTCACTATGTGTGTCTGCTATGGACAAAGCAAGGTCCCAGAAGGAAAAACAAAGCATTTTCATAAATGGGGAAAGCTGTTTCATAGCGGGGTGGGGGGATGTTGGGACTCTTTCTGGGTGAGAAACCTTTAGAAGTATGACTGGGATCGAAAATGCTGCTCAAAGCTCCCATGGCCATATACACAGAGAGGGAGGAAGGGGTTCCAATACTGAAACAAGCCTGGAAGCAGGGGAAGGCAAGAAACAGGGACAAAATCTTTGTCTTATCTTCAGAGGATTTGGGAACCGGACTGGCCCACACAGGGATACTTATGCCCACTCGGATTGGCTCTGAACACTCTAGGTAGGCACTTAATATTCTTGGATGTCTTCAGAATTCCAACAGTCATGTTTTCTACTGTCACTCTGGCTGTTAATAATGTTATTTAAGGGGCCAATGTGATAGCACAGCAGGTAAGACACTTGCCTTGCATTCTGCAGGGCTGGATTCTGCAGGGATCACTCCTGAGCACCACTAGGAGTGATCCCTAAGCACAGAGCACTGTAGCACTGTCCTCCTGTCGTTCATCGATTTGCTCGAGCAGGCAGCAGTAATGTCTCACAACAAACTGTGAGACTTGTTGTTACTGTTGTTGGCATATAGAATACATCACAGGGAGCTTGCCAGACTTTGCCATGTGGGTGAAATACTCTCGGTAGCTTGACAAGCTCTCTGAGAGGGGTAGAGGAATCGAACCCAGGTCGGCTGCGTATAAGGCAAACGCCCTAATAGCTGTGCTATGGCTCCAGCCAGGAATAAAATCCTGAGCACCAATGGGTATGACACCCATTCCAAAAAAAAAAAAAATACCTCCGGAAAATAGTAAAATTTTTCTATTTTTCAAGGGGATGGAGATGGAGATTTATGTATTTTCCCCAAAAAATTTCACTTATGGACTCTGTGTATGTATTTGTACAAAGTGGGACCAAAGAATAGTGTCTTATTTAGCCTTTTAGATGGTTAGCAAGAGGACTATTTTGTGGTATATGAATGTAACACGAAATTCAAGGTCTACTGTCAGTAAATTAGCTTTTACTAGAACACAGCTACATTCATTTATGTATTATAATTTATGGCTGTTTTCCAGTGATAGTAGAATTGAATGTTGCAAAAGAGTACTTATGATCTGTAATGGTGAGATTATTGTGAGCCTTTTCCAGAATTTGTCTGGTCCCTGAGGTAAGGAAGAGATATGTCTGCTTGTGTAGGCTTCCTAATTAATACGGGGTATATATAGCATATATACTTGTCTTAAATACTTTTGACTCCATTCAATTCCCGGTACTACATATGGTTCCCTGAGTTTGGCCAGGAGTAATCCCTGAGAAAAGACATGGGAGTAAGCCCTGAGCACCTCAGGGTAGGACAAGACTCCACCACCATTCCAAATAGCTATGGAGTTTGAGTGGGGTGACTGGATGGCTACCCTGAACAGACAGGGAGTCGGTTTCTGCTACTGGCTCTAGAGAGACCCAGGTTTCAATTCTATCCACCCAGGGCTTAGTATTTCATTAAAACAAACAAACAAACAAACAAACAAACAAACAAAGCTCAGTGCACGTTATCCTTGGACCAGTCAAGGTTTAGACATGGATTCAGAATCAATTTTAGTGGTTCCTGCACTTATGTCAAAATGCACATTCTATGTCTGAGCTTTTGAAGCAATTTCAAGGCTACAGTCTTACAGACATACTAAGATAACAGAAACTAAGTTAGAATGTGAGAAAAACTAATTAAAAAGATAAATCAGTTCTTAAGATACACAGTAGTACCGATAAGCCAGTCCTGAAGGGATCTAATAAAGTATAAACAAAATTCTTCATCCATCTTGCTTTTGCTTAAAAATCTTGTGAGCCACATTACTGTCGGAAAGTCAGTGGGAGGGGGGATGGGGAGACGGGTTAGCTGCTAAAGTGCTGCCCTGCATGTGGTATGACCCCAATTTGATCCTCCTAGGTACTGCCTGTGGTCTTGAAGCATCACCAGAAGAGATGCCTGAGCAGAGTGAGGAGAAAACCCTATGCACAACTGGGTATGGCCCCCAACAAAGAAAACATTAGCAAAAAGAAAGTGCTTGGGACAGAATTAGGGGGTGTAAGTGCTAGGGACAGAATTAGGGGGTGTGGTTAGGCACCCCAGAGCACATGCTTCTGAATGCAGTCCCACTGCAGACCATCACGCTCAATGACTGAGAGTATCAATACCT